CCCATGTTAATGTGGGTATCCGGGTCAGTGGCTGGACAGTTTGCCTTAGTGCACCTGTGCTACTAAAGAAATTTCTCTTCTGAAATACATTGAGAAACCTTGACCCTAACTCCTGGCTGTACAGTGACCTCAGTGGACCCTGCCAGGAATTAGCCCACTGATCTTTCCTTTTTGACGTACTTCTTAACTGGCTCTCTTTGTGTCCACCTGTTTATCCTCAGGATTAGTCCACCCATTGTTCTGTGTCACCTGGTTGTTCCTGAAAGGCAATTCATGTGACCTGCTACGTTAGGGTCCCCGTTGCTGCTCATTCCTAGCTGCTTCCTAACAAGTTTCATCTTGACACTGCCCTGACAAAAAGCACGAATCCTTTTCCTTAAAAAAAAAAAAAAAAAAAGCACAGATGTGTCATACACTTGGGGAGGATCATCGGTATCCCATCAGAGCCCACCCCTGGTGGGGGTTACAAATCATCAGTCAGCCCCAGTGACCTTGGAGGAGGCAGGTATCGCCATTGCCACTTCATTGATGAGAAAAGAGGCTCAGAAAGCTGCAGGGATTTGCACAGGTGTGGCGGAGGTGGGACTGGCGCAGTCACCCCGTTCAGCAGGCGCTGGGCATCCAGACCCCCGTCCTTGCCTAGAGGCAGCTCCATCTAGAAGCCAGATGTTGTGACTCCAGAATTTCTATCTGCCCAAAGGGCCAGTGGACAGGGAGCTGGGCTTCCTGTCACCCTGGGTGTCCTGCTGTTGCTAGATGCTGTCTTCTAAGGCCCTCCATCCGAATGCCTGTGGTTCCTGCCCTTTCCCACTCTGGACAGTAGCCACAGGTCGCCAGCCACACTGGGACTGAGCAAGGCACAGATGCCAGCCACTGCCACCCCCCCAGCGTCTCTCTTCCAGGCTGGGCTCTGGGGGTGGGGTGGGAGGTAAACCATTCCCGGGGTGGAGGGGGCAGTTTTTCAAGGAAAAGAAGAGAGTCCCTGTTGAGAGCCACGGGGTGCAGGGGGCTTCTCGCATCTCTGTCCCCTGAGGTGGCGGCCCAGGACATGGAGCTGAGGAAGCTTGCACCACTTGGGCACTGTCTGTCACTCACTGTGGCCAGGTGGAGAGCTCAGCTAGCGCTGCTTTCTGACCTTGACCACACTCTGTCAAGAGCATCTATCTCAGGGAAACGCCCCTTTCCAGCCTCCCTGGGTCGGGACATCTCTGTTCCTGCGGCACAAGAGTCAGGAGGTGTGAGTCCAATTCTAGCTTTGCCACTGATTTGTTGGGTGACCTTGGGCAAATCACATCCCACCGTTCTCTGTTCGCTCCATGATAAGTTGATGGTGATGGATGAAATGAGGTTTTCAGTCTGTTCCTTGGAGCCTGACAGTTCCACAGATGAACCTGAGCTCCCAACATAGTGGCCTGTTTTATAAATAGGGGGTCCTACAATTTTCAGAGTGTTTGCTCCCTTAAAAATCTGAAAAACTACTGAATAATAGTCTTTTTTTTTTTTWAAGTGCTGGTGATGGAACCTAGGTCCTGTGCATACTGAGCAAGTTCTCCAACCACTGAGCCACGTCCCCAGCCCCAAACATAATTGCTCTTTTAAAACAAATTTATTAGTACATTATAGTGATGCAGAGTGGGGTTCATTTTGAAATACTAATATATACATGTGACATAGTTTGCCCCACCCACCTGTGAATCTTCTATCATAGGTAGATGAAATTAGACTATGGATAGAAAAAAATATTCTGTATGGAATTTGTATGGGATCAGCCAGGGGTACAGACACACAGAGAAGGCTTCARTTGTAGGGTTTTATTTCAAGAGAGGAGATACAGTACTAAGGTCTGGTAATTTCCCCTGGTCATGAGTATAGTATTTTTTTTTTCAGGAATTTCTTCTTTGTAGAAGATAAAAATCAGTAATTATTTAGTTTATTCTCTCTCTCTCAGCCTTTGTGGAACATTCTAGATGCAAACCATAAAAAGAGTTTAAGGTCCCGGATGTTTTTCTGGTCTTTCTGCATACCTTTCTTTTAATAGACGATGGGGTCAGGAGCTAAAGGCTTGTTTTTTTTTGTCTTATGTACCTGTGGTGGTCCCTGACCATACTTACTGGAAGGACAGAGTAAGGTTGGGAGTTGTGCATGTGACTGAGGGCTTGGGAGAGTCCTCACTGGGCAGGAGATGAGCCCAAATGGAAGGTCAAGAAGGAAGGTGAGGGCTGGGGGTGTGGCTCCGTGGTGGAGCACTTGCCTAGCATGTGTGAGGCCCTGGGTTTCATCCTCAGCACCACATAAAGATAAATAAAGGTATTGTGTCCATCTACAACTAAAAAAAAAAAAAAATTTAAAGAAGAAGGAGGAGGAGGAGGAGGAGGAGGAGGAGGAAGGTGAGCCAGGAAAAGAATCTTGGGGAAAAGATCTGGAGGCCAGAAAGCAAATCTCCTGGGGAACTGGAGTCAGTTCCTGGAGCCGGGCTGAGGTGAGGAAGAAAACCTCTACCTGGCTGGCTGCAGGCAGCAGGCACACTGCCCATGATGACACGACAGGAGTCCCATGTCGCTTGGATTTTTCCAGTAACTACACAAAAAAAATACAGGACTGGGGATATCACTCAGTGGTAGAGCAAGTGCCTGGCATGTACAAGGCCTTGGGCTCACCCCCTGGAAGTTCAAGGCCAGCCTGAGCAAAAACTGTCTCAAAATTAAAAATAATTAATAATAATATTAATAATAATAATAGGCTAGGAATGTAGCTCAGTGATAGAGCACCCCTGGGTTCAATTCCTAGTATTGCCAAAAAGAAAGGAAGGAAGGAAGGAAGGAAGGAAGCAAAGCAGCAGCCAACAAGGCTCAAGCTGAGTGACCAAGACAAATATGGTTAAGGAGGTCAGAGAGGTAAGGACTAGAACACACAGTCCTATCAGGTCACTGTCAGGACTAAGACTTTAGCTGTGAATGACATGGGAACTCAGTAGCGTTTGGGGCAGAGGAGCAACATCATCTGACATGTTTAGAAGGATCGCTCAGGTTGATGTATTGAAAATCAAACCAGAAATGGGCCTGGAGGAAAGCAGGGAGCCTGGGTGGGAAGCTGCCGCACTAACCCTGGGAAGGGATGATGCCTGATTCCCAGCCCCACCCCGCCATGCTGGGGATCTTCCCCCAGGCCCGGCTCATGCTAGGCAGGCACTCCATCACTGAGCTACATGGCTAGCCCTCACTTCCAGAAATTTTATTTCATTCTTTTTCAAATCTACCCACAGCAGGCACAGTGACATGCACCTATAGTCTTGCCTCTGGGAGGCTGAGGCAGGAGGAGCTTGAGCTCAGAAATTCAAGGCCAGGAGGACAACTGAGCAAGACCTCATCTCAAAAATATAGGCTGGGCGTGGTGCACACCTGTAATTTCAACTACTCAGGAGGCGGAGGATCACAAGTTCAGAGCCAGCCTGGGCAATGTGATGAGTCCCTGTCCCAAAATGAAAAATAAAGAGGGGTTGAGGATGTAACCTAGCATATGTGAGGTCCTGGATTCAATCCACAGTACCGTAATAAATAAATAAAATGGGGGCTGGGATGTGGCTCAAGTGGTAGTGCACTCACCTGGCATGCGTGAGGCACTGGGTCCGATCCTCAGCACCACATAAAAATAAATAAGTGAAATAAAGGTATTGTGTTCAACTACAACTAGTAAATAAATAAATAAATAAATAAATAAATAATTTTTAAAACTGTCTACCCAGACAGTCTCTTATTCCATGCTCATGTTTTTAATTATTGCTAATTATCTCAAACACATTTTTGTAAGTTTTACCTAATAATTATACTTTACAAAGCTCTTGGAAGGGTAATTCTGTTATCTGACATTCCTGCTAATGCTTGCTGTTGTTTTCACACATTGTGAAATTTTACATGTCGAGCCCAAATTCCACAGGCCTTTTTATGTAGTAATTTTGTGCAAGCTGCGTAAGCATATCTCCCTATAAAAATGTTTAGCTTGCTTTCTAATTATATCTATGGTGTCTCAGACAATATTTACATGTCCTGAGTTTTTTCTTCAATATCACAAACTTTTCTATTAAAAAAGATTCATTATCTAACATTCAAATTTAACTGAATTTTTTTTGTGCACTAGGGATTGAATCCAGTGGTGCCTTATCACTCAGCTCAATCTCTAGTCCTTATCGTTTTTTTAAAAAAAATATTTTAGTTGTAGTTGGACACAATACCTTTATTTTATTTATTTATTTTTATGTGGTGATGAGGATCGAACCCAGGGCCCCCGCACGTGATAAGCGAGTGCTCTACTGCTGAGCCGCAACCCCAGCTCCAGTCCTTATTATTTTTTATTTTGAGACAGGGTCTCACTAAATTGCTGAGGCTGGCCTCAAATTTGCAATATCCCTGCCTCAGCCTCCCAAGTAGCTGGGATTATAGATGTGTGTCACCACAACCAGCTTCATTGGATTTCTATATTTTATATAAGATAAAATATTTTATCTTCTATAGCTTATCTTCCCACCACTTGGGGTAAAAATAGTCTTATTTCCCTTCTCCAAACTGTTGTTAAAACTTCAGCACTTTACCAAAACTGGCATGTGTGTGCGTGCACATGCGCGCGCACGCGCGCGCACACACACACACACACACACACAATGGAAACCCCCTTACATCATCTCCAGAATCCATTTCTTTGGGGTTTTGCTTTCCTCTTGGTTGTTGCCTCCGGGGGATTCCCTTTGCTTTCAAAAGGAAGTGTTCAGATGAGGGTTTTCTGCCGGTGGCCTTCCCGTGGTCCTGGCTGGCTGTCCATTTGAATGGACAAAGGGCAACCTATACAGCCACAGTGGAAGCTGATTTTTCGACAGGGGTTGCATCCGCTCAGGTCCAAGTTGGACTGGAGTCWGTCGGATGATTGCACTGACTGAAAAGTTCTCTCTTTCCCTTGTCCTGCAGCGGAGCCCTCTGGACCAGCCCGTGGACGCGGAAGGGCCCCCACCCATGGAGTTCTGCCTGGAGCCGGAGGCAGTCAATGGCTCAAAGAATGACTTGAATTTCAACCCCATGAAGGAGTACATGGTCCTCAGCCGTCCTCAGCAGGTGGCGATTGCCGTGCTGTGCACCCTGCTGAGCCTGCTGAGTGCCCTGGAGAACCTGACGGTGCTTTATCTGATTCTGTCCTCCCGCCGACTCCGCAGGAAGCCCTCATACCTGTTCATTGGCAGCTTGGCTGTAGCTGACTTCCTGGCCAGTGTGATCTTCGCCTGCAACTTTATCAATTTCCACGTCTTCCACAGCGTGGATTCCAAGGCCGTCTTCCTGCTGAAGATCGGCAGTGTGACCCTGACCTTCACCGCCTCAGTGGGCAGCCTGCTGCTGACCGCCATTGACCGCTACCTCTGTCTGCGCTACCCACCTGCATACAAAACTCTACTCACCCATGGGAGGGCCCTGGCAACCCTGGGCATCATGTGGGTCTTGTCAGCTTTGGTCTCCTACCTGCCTCTCATGGGGTGGACCTGCTGTCCCAGTCCCTGCTCTCAGCTTATCCCCTTGGTCCCCGACAACTATATCCTGGGCTGGCTCCTGGTGGTTGCCATTCTCTTCTCYGGCATTATCTACACCTACGGGCACGTCCTCTGGAAGGCCTATCAGCATGCAGTCAACTTGGCCGAGCACCAGGACAGACAGCTGCCAGGGATGATCCGCATGAGGCTGGATGTGAGGTTGGCCAAGACCCTGGGGCTGCTGCTGGCTGTGTTGGTCATATGCTGGTTCCCGGTACTGGCCCTCCTAGCCCACAGCCTGGTGGCCCCGCTGAGTGACCAGGTCAAGAAGGTCTTTGCCTTCTGCTCCTTGCTGTGCCTCGTCAACTCCATGGTCGACCCTGTCATCTATGCCCTGCGGAGTCGGGAGATCCGCTCTTCGGCCCACCATAGCCTGGCCCGCTGGAAGGGCTACCTGAGAGGCCATGGTCCTGAAGCAAAGGAAGAAGCCCCCAAGTCCTCCGTCACAGAGACAGAGGCTGACGTGAAAATCACCTAGGGACCCCAGGTCAGAGGTCCATTCTGCTCAGATTGCTGAGGAGGCCTCTTCCCATTTTTAACTCAAGTCAGAAATCATTTTGTTCCCTGGATGAATGAGCGCAGTCCTGGCCCTCTGGACCTTTGCAAACCAGCCTCAGGACTTGGAACTGACCCCTTTGTGCTGRGGAGTGCTGGGACTGGTTCCTGGAGGGTGGCCTGGCCGTGTCCACCTGCACAAGTCTGGGGCTTTGTGAAGAGTGACAAAGGCATCAAAGGCACAGGGCCCAGGACAGGCTCACTTCACGTCGGGTCAGGAAAACCTTCCCAACCAGTGGCTTAGTGCCTGCATCCCCCCAGGGACCACAGAAGGAGGGAGCATCTGGCTCAGCTGGCTCAGAGGGAATKCGAGCAGGACCGTGTGTCCCGGGACCTTGGCTATCAGATGGGATGGCCAGCCAGGGCTCGTGTCTGACTGRTCATCGGGGCCTCCTTTGTTCTGGAAGCATGAAAGCCCCTCCATCAGGTCACCCTTTCCCACTGAGGCCCAAGAAGTTGTGAGTTGATGAGGATCAAGGGAGTTGACCCACTTCTTGCAGAGACAAATGACAAGACTTCAGTTCAGGGCATCCTGTTAGGGTAAAGGCCCTCCTGAGGCCCTGACATCCTKGCTCATGCCATGATTACCCCCAGATCCCTGGGAGGAGATGGGCGGTACTGGAGACACAGATACTTCCAAAAGTCATACTGAGCCMCGACATCCACTTGGTGGTGCTATGAGGAGCAAGCAGTGTTCCAGGATAACCCAGCTGCAGGGAAAAGGAAGCTATTCACAGGTTCTCCAAGTCCCAGAGTGTTCTCAGTCCCCAYTCAATGCAGCCCCTTTGCCTGCACCAGACACCTAGAATGCCCAGCAAGTGGGAGGGGCAAGGCTGACTTTCCAGTCTATGAACCGCAGCAAGAACTGATCCAGGCTTAGGAGGGTCTGCAGGGACCRTACTTTACGTGTCTGTGAGGCTGGGTTCCCAGCAGACAGGCGTCAGACAGGAGGCAAGAGGAATTGTTGGCGGCATGAAGGATGCAAAGGAATTCAGGCGCAGTCATTTGGGACCACAGATGCAATAAAAGAAAATATATTGACTAACCGTGTTTCCATTTAATTATCCAAGACAACATGTTCCCCGTCCACTCTCTGTCCCATCCATCTTGTGAACAAGTGCTGGGCTCCGTGCTTGGGAGAGGAAATCCAGCCACGAGACTCCACCCCAAGTCTCATGGGGCTTGTGTTCCATGTCTGCATAAGAAGAAAGTCAGCAAAAAAAAAAAAAAAAAAAAAACCGACAGGAGATACAATAAAGGAAATCAGCAAGGGACAGGGGTTGATGAAGGCGACTTCAAAGTAGGCTAGACCTACTGTGTGTACAGGCCATGACTATGTCCCAGGCCCTGGGGTAAGTGCTTTGAGATGCCTGGGTTCATTTAGTCTGCATAATAATCTGACAAACAGGGCCTAGTGGCCTCMAAAAGGCAGTCACTTGTCTGAGGTCACACTGCTAACAAATGTAATTGTCCCTTGGTGTCCAAGGGGGAAATTGATTCCAGGGCCTCCTCCCCTCCCTGCAGATGCCAATGTCCTTGGATGCCCAAAGCCCTTATATAAGAGGGGTATTTGCACATAACCTGCGTGCATTCTCCCACATACTTGGTGTGTGTGTGTGGGGGGGGTATTGGGGATGGCTCAGCTTTACCACTGAGCCACATCCTCAGCCCTTTTTATCTTTTTTTTTTTTTTTTTTTTGAGACAGGGTCTCACTAAATCAGTGAGGTTCTTGCTTAATTGCTGAGGCTGGCCTACAACTTGCACTCCTCCTGTCTCAGCCTCCCACATCACTGGGATTACAACAAGCATGTGCTACCACATCCGGCCAGATAAAATTAAAAAAAAAAAAAACTTTTTTATTTTTTAATCTGTGGTTTGTTGGATTCACACACGCSGAACCAGTGGTTAAGGACAGCTGATTTCCCAGAGCTGGGGTTTCCAGTCTGGTTCTGTTTACTCCAAAGCCTGCCTCCTTAAACAKGACCTTCTCAGCTTAGTTCAGTCCGATTTGTCTTGACTACTGATCATTAGGCACGATGGTAGTTTTCTTTAACACCAGACCATTGCGACCCTAACTCAGCATTGTTTCTTAACATGTTTCATTCTGTACACCTGTATTAATTTCCTATAACAAATGTCCATGAACTGGGTGACTTTTAAAAAACAGAAATTTATCTCCTCCCAATTCTGGAGGTCACAAGTCCAAAATCAGTAGGGCCATGATTCCTCCAGAATTGCAAGGGGAGGATTTTTCCTAGCCTCTTCTAACTTCCTATGGCTCCTAGTGTCTTTAAATTGTGGCCATCTCTGTCTCTTGTCTTCATATGATCTTTAAAAAAAATTTTTTTTAGTTGTTGATAGACCTTTATTTTATTTGTTTATATGCAGTGCTGAGAATCGAACTCAGTGCCTCACACATACCAGGCAAGTGCGCTACTGCTACAGCCCCAGCCCCAGCCCCATTTGTATGGCCTTTTTATCCCTTGTCTCTTGGTGTCTAATCTAGCATGATAAGGTCACATTCACAGGCTCCATGTAGATGTGAAGTTTTGGGGAACACTATAAAATGTTCAACTCAGTACAACCACCAGGGACAAAGTCCACCCCTCTGGGCTGTGTTAATGACAATCACTAGCTTGTCTTCTCTGGAGCTGAGCTCTGTGCTGGCCTCTGTGTCCCCAGTGCTCAGGGAGAAGAGTCAGAGAGTCTTAAGGGACCTGGTCAACATCTGTAGAACTGAATTGTCTCTGAAAAGCTCCAACATGCATTCTGGAAAACCAAAATTTTATTTTCACTCACRTTATGGCAAAGAAATGCCATGATTGTGTTTTTTCTGGTGCCAAAGACGGAGCCCATGGCCTTGTACATGCTAGACAAGTGCACTACCACTGAGCTGCATCCCCTGCAAATGACACAAAAATTTTAAGTGATTTCTTATGTTCACTATTGTGGCATGTCTCTCTTTTTCATTGGTGGCTTTCCCCCCTTATTTAGCAAAGAAAATGAAATGTCACCAAGTACGTGACAGAAAGTGGCACTCAGTAATTTTTTTTTTTTTTGAGAGAGAGAATTTTAATATTTATTTTTTAGTTTTCGGTGGACATGACATCTTTGTTTGTATATGATGCTGAGGATCCAACCCGGGCTGCACGCATGCCATGTGAGCACACTATCGCTTGAGCCACATCCCCAGCCCAGCACTCAGTAAATTTTTATTGAATGAATACAACTAGATTTTAGGAGTCATTCAATCAAGCGCACTTCCACACCATTTTCTTCTTTCCTTTTACCAAGTAGAGAAGCAGAGGTCGTGGGGGGAGAGAGACAGGAAAGAGGACCCTGGATATCCCTGAGAGTTGTCCTCTGTGCTTAGAGGAAGAAACAGAACCAGACAAGGGGACAAGTCTTGCCCAAGGAGACCAGCACAGTGCCCTGTGCAAGAACCCCAGGTTTTTGGTCATGCCCTTCTGCCTGCTCCCCCACAATGCCTCTCACCTGTCTCGGGTTGGCATTTTGGTTATGTGGGTAAGGACAAATGAAGGTCACAGAATTCCATTATTTCTCCCCCAAGGCAAGTTCTGTATGTTAAAGGCCACAGGAAGGTGGGGGCTGTGGCTCA